TTAGGGCTACAAAAACTTTTTTTTATCAAAAGAAATAGAAGAGTTTTTCAATAAAAATAACAATTTTGTTTCGACTTTATAGATAGAATATAACTATATGATATATGAATACGATATTCACATTTTCCCATATGTAGGTCGATCTTTTTTATGCAAAGTTTGGTCAAGTTATAATTAAAATATATAACTTTTAAAAATTCCTATGGTAGTTACATATAAGATATAGACATATATATATATAGTTATTGAAACAGACTGTTGGTCAAGACTAATTTTGATATCTTTACTTTATGAAATCTGAAAAGTCGCCAAGGATATAAAAATAGATCTGATATAGCTGCATATGGGACATCTAGGTAGACAGATTTGGCTGGATCGAAACGGACATCTTTTATCTTTGCGAGACAGTAAATTTTTGTACGCTCTTAAAGAGGGGATAGATTCAATATTGCCTTCATATAAAGAACTACAATTTGTTTTTTGAATGAGAATATATATTAGCCGCCTTGCCATATGCGCCGCATGGGTATGGCGGAAGCCCCGGGTTTCGCATAAGATTTGTTTCTTTCTTTCGCATATTGTTTACATATTTGATATAATTACGCTGTCGAGGGAGGTGAGCGCCTCGGCCTGTCGGTGGGTGGGCGTGGTAGCTCGGAGCAGGGAATCTCTCTAGAATATGCTGTTGCGCACGTAAGAAACACGTTAGGAGCGATAAAGAGGTGTATAGATGACTAGATCGACTCGTCTATTGATGCTATTCAGAATTTATGCCCATAAAAAATAAGCTTAATTCTGCTTTTTGTTTACATTTGCGAAAACCCATTATATCCTTCTTATCCAGGTTCAAGGCATAACTATTATCAATTATATTCTTAAATTATCCAAATAGCAAGTTTTCGATCAAAGGTTTGGTTCAGGTTTCGGTTCGGTTGCAGCTAATCCGGTTTGAGGTTCTGTTCATGGTAATTATAAGGTTGGAATCCGGGCTTCAAACCGGTTCGATTCAGAAATCGGTTTGCAGCCTTGCTTTGCACAGCTTTGTTGATTTATCTTTATTCAGTTTGTGAATATACAATTTTTGTTTTTATAACTTAATCAACAAGTTAATTGCTTTTGACATTTGATAACACTTTTAACAGAGTTTAATTGCAAATTTGTAGAACCCTCTTCACTTTATCAAAGCTATCTAGTAGCAATTAGTTTTGACAAATACATTTTGAAAGTCCTCAGATGTTGCTGTGCTGAATTCGGAGGAATTTTTTGGAAGCAGGCTACCAAAATATATATAGATATGTAGCTCAGGCTATGTTATTCTCACTTCACAAAAACCATGTTAAATTATTCAGGGCTTTACATATTGGATTCTCTCCTCGCCAAAAAAAAAAAATGCTTGCACAGAAATAACAGACCGAACTCACACTAAGTTGAAATGGTAGAAAAAAGCCCGATCACAGGTATGACAGTTTGTTGTGAATGTTGTCATGTATTTATAAACACATACATACACACGTATGTAGCTACATACATACGCACTTTAAGTTACAAGAACGATTTTAGCTGTGCCCCAGTCGCTGGGCAAGTGCACGGACAGATGTTGCTGTTGGACGAGTTTTGTGCCGGCGATTTCTCTTTGCCGCTGTTATATTTCGTTAGGTAAGCACCATTCATTTATTTTGATAACATTTTAAGCTGCATTTAGATGTATCCATGCATTGCATATGTTAGCTTAGCTCAAATTCTATGTACGAGATTGAGAATTCAACTAATTTAATTCGTTGCGCACATATTACATATGAAATTATGATCAACTGATATGGCACACACTTTATGAATTTAACTGGATACACTGTTTACATGGATGCCTATGATTTTTACATTTTTAAATAATTTGTTTAACACTTCTTCGAAATATTTACAAACAAACATATGCGTGTCTGTATGTATGCATATGAATGGTGGGTGAATAATGTTAACACTCTGTCGCGAACGAAGTTAACGATGGTAGATCGGCAGTTATCGATTATTTACCACACACTTCACGATCTTGGCGTTGCCAGACATACAGGACGGCTTATAATATTACATGTGTATTTTATGAGTTATCACTCAAAAGAATCTTATATTTTCAATAGTGCGCTGTAATCTTTTAATTTTGTAAAAGGTTGCCCAATAATTTCAAATTTTTATGAATTAAAAACAAGCCATGTGGCAGCGGCTTAGCTTAGCATAACAGAGCTAGCTCGCACACTCACACAAGCAGAGCGTATATATATTAAGTATGTGTGTATGTATGTGCGTACAAACGAAATTAAAACAAACAAATGGCATATGCATGAATAATGAATCAAAGTTTTAATGCACTTAACGAAATATGAGAAATATACGATTTTTATTTAGATCACCAAATCGCCTCTTTTAAAATATTAGTGCAAGACAAATTTGTAGTCTATGAGCATACAAACATATTCACATGCATTCACACATACACATTTGCACTATGCACTTCGTCATAAAATGATATATACATACATATGTATGTATTTTTGAACTATATTCCCATACTTTTTAAATATTAATTATTTTCACAGAAACCACGCAAAACACATCGCTGTTGTGATTATTGAAATCAAAGCGTTATTATATTTATGTATGTATGTGTGTACGCACGCACAGCTCGTTCAATTTCTTTCAAAAGCGTCCGCGACGTACGACCGCACGTATGAACTGCGCCAGAGTGTGTAACTGTGGGTTTCTTACTCGATGGTCAAACCTGAACGAACCGTATCAATCCCTTTTACCTACTTAACTGCTATTAACAGGCCATACCAAAGAGAGCAGTCTTAGAAACATGTGTACGTGTGTGTGTGTGTGTTATTTGCTGTTTACGCTCTGTAGTTCAACATTACAACATAACATTTGCATGTTGCAACATCGAACCGAGCTAGGTGCGGAACTCCAGTTTATGTAAAACTCGTCTTATACTCAAGAATAGCGGTTTCATAAGCGGTCTTATATTTGTCTTATATAGGTTCGTGTTCGGGCTTATAATACAATTAGCAAAAATATTGTTACATACTTTAAGGGGAACTAGCATTTGAATCAAATACAGCTACAAATTCATACAATACAAATGTTGAATGTTGAATGAATTCCGTCGGGAAAACAGTAGTAAAAAACGAATTCATATTTGTTTTATGTATATATTATATTACTATTTATATTATTATTAAAAAAACCCTTTTGAATGAATCTTAGTTCCCATTATTCTCCGAAACATGGAGAAATAGTGTTGTAGCTCCTCTTTAAGGGAAATACTTTTAGAATGAATTTTTCTTTCCTTTAAGAAAATTGCGGAAATATTAAAAGGACCAAAGTTAGCCAAGTTTCAGTTTTGTTGCAAACCTTCAGCGTTCTGAAGGAAATATTTCTGAGGGAAGTACTTTCGGTATGATTTTTAGTTTCCTCTCAAGACCATGGGGAAATACTATAAGGACGAAAGTTAGCTAAGTTTCAGCTATGTCACAATCTTTTTCCCCTGAAATACTTTTGAAATTAGTTTTAGTTTCTGCCGCTTCTAACCGCGGCACTTTATCGGGAATTTTGGGTAGGGTCTTATATGGTTATTGGGTAGACGGAAATGCAGTTCTTGTTTCTCAGATTCCGATGTTCTTTGATACGGGTCCAAGCACCTGTAGGAAACAGGTTGATGGCAGAAACATATCGTAGATCATACCACGTTCCCGCTTTGGGGGCCATAATACGCCTTCCTTAAACAGAATCAGCTTAACTAATCGATTTGCCGAGCTTGCCGACCCTTTGGTTGATGAGTTGATGACGACGAATCTGGCTCAGATTACGATATAGGTAAACTTCAATAGGACGCTAGGTTCAGCAATGCTGTTAGCCGCAGTGCAGCTCCAGCCGCCACGAACAAGAGAAACAGCTCAGAGCTCCAGTAAGAAATCGCCGTCAATAGTCATTGGCTATATGGGAAAAACTATTTGTCTATAGTCTGAAAGCATGATGAATTGAAAATTGGCTGGTTTTTACACTGGCTTAGATGATTGAGATCCAACCTCAAGTCCTCAGTTTGATCTGGAATGCGATATGATCCTGTTAAGCGAGACTTTCGAACAACTCTGCGCCCAGAAATTTAGTCTTCCATGTATATCAAGCTAACTTACCTTAGCGAGCTTGAGCTCTTGGAGCTATGCTTGGTATAGCGGAAGTTCATCGTGGACTATCTGGTGTTAGTATCTCAGAATCGTGGGAGCTACAAAGCGATTATCCAGGGGTAACTGTGGACTTTAATGCACATCCCGCGGCTATCTTGCCAAACTTCAGGTTGCTCTCCGTATATACCTCAGTTCCTGGTTTTCAATGAAAGGTGGTGGACAGGTCCATCCACCTAGGCATGGATCTGTAATCGAATCTGGACTTTGACGATGCTGTGGACCTTGTGACTAGAAAAGTCCAAGAAGCAGCTTATCAACCGGATCCTTAAATTCCAATGCCACGTAGTTCAACTCAACAAAGGGGGAACCACCAGAAAGTAGACACTTTGAGCTATATTTGGACTTGCTGATATGAGTGGAAGGAATGTATTATTGCTGACGCCATAATTGTTAGCGCTATGCCAAATATCGTTTTTTTGCTATTACGCAGTCCAGTTTAGATGATTCCTATGTCTTTTCAATTTTTTTTATCACTTCGATCATGTAAACAAAAACTGGCGGTTATATTCGATGGGAAACAAACTGGAATTAAATCACGTCAGAATTGTTTTTACAGATTCAGCACAACATTAAATCTGAGCTCAGTGACAGGTTAGACATGTATAATAATAATATATCACGTAATTATTTGAAAGAACGCATACAAAATTTTTTCAAAAAATTAACACGCAAATTCGTCACATTCGAGCTGTCATCAAAAATTTTGTTTTGTTTCCGTTGTTTTCATTTGGTTTCCAATTTTACTATCGGAAGATTCGATTATACCTTGCGTGACCGATGTTTTAACAACTGCAGCACAACGAATTTTAAGACTATCGATACTATCGACAGAGCTATCGATTGCTTGGCAGCTTTAGTGTGTGGTTCATGGAGTAAAAAAATTGCTGCCTAAATATGATCGAAATAAACAAAACTGCAATTGGAATTGCAGCGGGTCTGGCTGGCACATTGTTTATTGGTTATTGCATTTATTTTGACAACAAACGCCGCAGCGAACCGGACTACAAAAAAAAAGTTCGCGATCGTAAGTAAATTTTGACCGACAATGTGCATTTTGTTATCCATATATATATATATATGTATGTATATAATTATAATATATATAGGCCGTCGGCGCAACCGTAAAGTTGGATCTGCCAAGCAAGGAATGCCAAATTTGAATGACCACGAGGCTATAGAAAGGTAATTGTGAAATACTCTATTTCTATATTACATAACGAAGGATGCACGTGCGTGCGCGCCGTCATGTTACATACATACATACACAAATACATACATACATATGTATGTACAACGTTGTTTGAAGAACTCGCAGGCTAGTTTTTGCACAAATAATTATCAATTATAACGAGTGTGAGACATGCGTGCACAATGTGCACAGCAATCCGTTTAGTTTCTAGATGGGTTTAAGTTTACAGTCAAGAGTTTTCATTTAACGGCGTCACAGTTCCGGCACATTTGCTAATTGGTTTCCAATTTGATTTTTATGTATGATAATGCTTATATAAAAAAAAAACAAGCAAGAACATTGCAGTGTGCACTTCGCAATACCCTGCATCGCGAAAATGTCCTTCTTGACTGATGGGCTAGTAATCCAAAAGATGACTAGGCCATACGAATAAACGATACTATTGACTCGATCTTTAATACCAGTGATAAACGTTATGATTATTTAACTAGGCCTTAAACTCTCATAAAACAATAAGAAAATAAAATGCACCTTTAGTCAATCATGTAGCAGGTGTGTGTGAATAACGCCTATTGATTGTTCCTATAGTAGATTGACTAAACCCCAATCAAAACACGATTTTTACCTTTAAGAATGTTGAATAGTCCAGCAGACATGAACAAGTGTGCGACATGTTTCTATATATCCGGCAGGTTGTTCCAATCGCATCTATTTACTCTGATGTTGGTTCAATATATTGCTCATATATGGTAAGAGCATAAGTGTGAGGCCTAACATGTGCGTGAGTTTAGTCATGATGTCATGTCCATTAACGTAGACATTCATACTTAAATTCAGTTACAATGACAACATTCGCGAGTCTCTTCTGCCCGCAGCAATATTGTCGCATTCCGGCGGAACGGATCGCTTAGCCTTTCCACTATGTTATATGTTTTTATAGATATGTCCGCCAAAGTCAGCAAAGGCTGAGGAAATCCTTTTCATCATCGGGCTATGCCGACTCTGCGGTTAGCCTTCCAATAAAAAGTTATCGTTCAGGAAAGAGTCTTAAAGTTACCAACGATAGGTTAAGCAATCTGTCGGATTCAACTAAAATGTTCTTGCTTGATTTATTTTGAATTAAAATAGAAAACCAAAATATGAAGTTAAAACCAGCTCAAAGATATTTGCTAATTTTTAATAATATTGTTTGGATTTTGCTTGCAATCTATTAAAACATTTTTCTATGCATATTAAACTGTAAGAGAACAATATATTATGCTTCATTTCAGATATTTCCTTCAGGAAATTCAGCTAGGTGAAACCTTGATAGCTCGTGGCGATTTCGAAAGTGGCGTCGAGCATTTAGCAAACGCAATCGTTGTATGTGGCCAGCCCGCACGCCTCCTGCAAGTGCTACAATCTTCTTTACCGGCTCAAGTGTTTGCAATGTTGATTATCAAAATGCAAGAATTCGGTAATAGGGCCACAGAATCCAGCGATGGATTGGTTTCAGGACCACGCTCGAGCCAAAATGAGACCTCTTCAAATATTTTAGAAACTTCCGGAAATGGAGCCATTGATGATTTAGAATAATATTTGAAAATAAACAGATGAGCCTGGCATATATATTTGAACAAAAATCGTTAAAGGCTTAATATTATAATTTAATAAAGTTCAATACAAGTGTATTGTATAAATATTGAATTCGAAACGTAACGTATTCATATAATCAATTAATAATCATTTATTGTTATAATAATTAAATTTATTCTGATCTTCCAGACAATACTGAGTATCTCGCACATAATGTGTAATGCATTGAGAAAGGATTCTCCGTCCCCAAACATATCGGGATTTTTAGTTATCACCCAGTACGAAGCATAACCAAACTAACAGATTTATTACAAAGTAGTCCTTCTGGATCTATCAATATTTCTCTAACACTGTCGATGAGAGTTTCGCGAAGGTCAAATTCGCCTCCAAATACGACCAAGAGCATTGATGATTCTTGTGACTCTACCGATCACAGCTAAAAGCTTATATGTACTTTTGATAATTTATGTCAATACGCTCGAATTCTAATTTGAACATATTAACATATACGTTATAAAGCTTTATGTACCGATTCAGTACTTATTCAGTTACCAGGTGCCCTTTGGATAACTGTGTGATGGCAGAGCTCTTCTACGTAACTTATTGGAATAGCGCAACGTGTACGCTTATCAATAAAAACGAAAAAAGGAGGATTATGAAATTCCTCTACCTTAACTAAGATAGCGCCCAACTCAGCAGCGAAGGCAGCCACTGGGCCCACCAGCCACGCAAACTCCAACTCACCTTGGGAGCTAAGTATAGCAATATTGCAGCTTAGCTCCCTGCTGGTAGAAGGAGAAATAGCTGAATGGGCTAGTGACAATCGTCAACAAGGTCACTTGCTTCACGTAATATACGTAATATCCCGCCGGCAATCTAGTCCACGGTCGTGGATGACCTGATACATTGATGACTCATACTAGGACTGTGATATTGTATTGCGGAATGACTTCACTAAAGGACAACGAGTCAGCGCTTCACCTCCGTTGGAGCATCAGTCTGTCAAAAAAACGTTGTAGCATATAGCCCGCTTCTTGACTATATGCCTAGGGTACACGCTAAAGAATGAGCATTAGGCTTAGGCATTGGGCCATGAGAGGCCTACGTCAAGCGGCCGGTGATTTAAACAGATGGGTAAGTTTCTCCCAGTCTACTTAGTTCTAGCGCATTAACATAAAACATAGATATGTGATAAATACAACAATGAAGATAATAGAAGCAGCAATGGAAGTTTAGTGGCTTGTCTGTGATCTCTATTGTATGTGTCAGCGATTCGTCCCTGTTAATTGTAGAATCGGATATAGAGTCCAGACTAGTTAGACAATAGTCGGGTGAATTGACGAGATAGATTATATAAAATATTTATTTTTCAGAGCACACTTGTTTATAATATATAAGCTTACAGTGAGCGTAAAACATTTCTAAATCGATCCAAAACAATATTTGCATGGGCTTCTTTAAAGATTAAAGCTGGGCGGAATCGAATGGAAACTTCTCCACAGCCACCTGTTTGAATACCATTCAGCCTTAAAGTGCTGACTATCGAGTCCCTTACTTTGGAGTTAGAGCAGTTTACAGCCAAGAATGTGCCACGTCCTCGGGTAGAGTTCAATAGTTGGGGAAATTCGCTTTCTAAGTTCAATAGACCCTGTTTTAAAACTTTGCCAGCAGCTTCAACATTTGCCATTAATTTCTCGTCTTTAATAACTTTCAATATTTCTTCCAAAAGGATTACTTTTCCTGGATCACCCATCCATGTGTTGAAAATCCTGTAAGGTTCCTTTGGTGCAAAGTCGTCATTATGGAAATATCCTCCAAGTTGCAGTTTCTTACTAAACGTAACCACATCAGGTGGATACTCGAGGTTGAAATGTTCATGGCACCAAAACTTGCCAGTGCTTCCTCCTCCAGTTTGTACCTCATCAATCAAAAGTGCAACGCCGTTACTCTTACAAATCTTCTGTAGAGCTCTGAAAAATGCAGGCGAAGCTTCGTTGTCACCGCCCTCACTTTGTATGGGCTCCACAATAACACCAGCAACAGGCTTATCTTTCTTTTTGTACTCCTCTATGAGACTTTGCACTTCACTTAAGCACTTCTCATCTTCCTTTTTATTTTCCGCAACGTTGTCCTCCAATGGATACTTGTATTGCGGAAATGATGCAATAGGCCAGTCAAAAGAAGGAACATCAATTTTATGTATATATTTTGAGTGTGTGGTAGATAAGGCTCCTAGTGTTCGACCATGAAAAGCTCCTTTGAAGGAAAGAATACTGAGGTTCGGGGCGCCAGGTGGCATATTAATCATACACGAGTTCATCTCTTCTGCAGTGAATCCCTTTTCTCCTCGAATTTTAGTTTGGTACCTGAAGAAATAACAATACTTCCATTAAAACGAATAATTATCTATGGTAAAATGTTTCTCAAAATGGGCTTTAAACGTTACATACCAAAGGAAAATGCTCTTGAAAGCATTTTCGTTTGAACATGATCCACACATCATTGTCGTGATTTTGTTCAATCCCTTTGGAGCTATATTCAGTAAGATCGAGTTCAGTTTGTCCGGCCATTCCTTTCCAGGAAACACACCAAGTGCTGGTCTATTTATCAGAGCTGAATAAATTAATTGTTTTTTGTTTAGTATGAAGCACTTTTATGCTGGTTTATTAGACTCTTCAATGCTCAGTACTGGATCATGAATTATGATGTTCAGTAATTGACGAATTACCACCAAGATACATATTCTTTTTGAGTGGCGTTGGTTTCAGAAACTGATTTGATTATATCTAATGGTATTGCATATCTGAATTTTGAGGTCACAGAAATTATTTTTAGGTTTCTACCTCTACTAATTTGAGTTATGTGTTAAATTATTTATTTAAACTTGTTTTTTGTTGCTATAAAAGCTTGCATTTGGTTTGTGTCCCTGTGTTTTGTCTTGTGTCGGACAACTATTTTCTATCTCTATGATCCACTTGTCGTTTATGACGTATTCGATTTTAACTTATCTATATGGCCTGACCGGCTCATCAGCGCATATTAAACGAGCTCTTCACATGCAATGTGTGGCCGAGTTAATACAATTGGAAAAGGTATAAATTTATATATTTTTTCAGGGCGCATGTGTGAGACTACACATAACAAACCACCTATATGCTTTTTTTTTGCTGGGGGCTATATTAACAAATCAATAGTTACAGTAGGTCGTATGTTCCTATTATGGTTGGGCGCAAATTATGTATGTATGTGGGCATCACTTGCTCAATCCAATGACCAAGTTGTCTGTGCTCGACTTTACATGGTTAAGTAAGTCGCCTTATGGCTCAGCAATGAATTACTATTCTTATGTGTATTGTAAATCGAGTGTCGATATAAGCTGAGGCATAAGCTACAAAGTTATAGCCGGCTAACCTAACGATTGACGATTTCGATTAAAGTATTTAAACTGAAACATCTCATGTTAGATGGCAATCGTTAGCTCATGCGAGGATTACTTGTTAACTTGTATATGCTTATAATAAATAAATAGTATTCAACTTTAATTAAATGATTAAGTCAACTTACTTTTCAAATTGTTTTCATCCTTGAAAATGTTGAGGAGCCTCGGATGGTTATAGCCAAGAGGTACTGATGAAATTTGAGTGTAAACATCAAGTAAAGCATTGCCATCAACATCAAAAATATAGTTTCCAGTCGACTTTTCATAATCGGCAAAGAATTGCACAGTGCCCGTACTCTGTAAAACATTGATTAAGCTTTATGTTTAAATTCTCACAATTGATTTCGTTAAATTATTGAACCAAGGTCCTGTCGTTAATAATTATTGTCTCGATAATGATATGCATCTGTATTACCTTCGATATCTTCGTAGTCAAGTTTCCTTGGCAGTTTCTTGGCGTACGTTAAGTCGAGTCTGTTAATGATTGCTTTATTGTTCAGGGAACAGCAGCATATTCGGCAGGGCCTTTGATATTATTTCTGATAACACCGAGTGGCTACTATAACTTTAATTTCGCCATCTGATTTTTTAGCAAATTTATTTTCCATTTATATCAATTTAAGTTCAAACATTTGAACCTGACCTGCCGATCAGATTCTCTAAACGGCATTTCAATCAGACTTTGGGTTTCAATCAGACTGACAATAAAGTAGACCAATAAATGATGTATACACATAAATTCTACATGCATAAATAATAATAAAATTTCAATTAAAACATATCTGCATAGAAGCTATCGCCCGACTCTTGGCGCGTATCTAGTTAGTTAATGAATATATGTAACTTGATTTATGGCTGTCGGTTGGACTTGCCAGGTAATAAAAACTAATTTACCAAATATATGACTATTGCTAGTTAGTTAGTTATCCCTACGGTATGTCGCAACCCAGTTTAGCATAATGCTGAGCTTCGTCTCGTTGAGGTCTCTTATTACGCCTCCGCGCTGACTGCGTCGGTTGCCAAATGGCGCCGGGTCACTACAATGACAATATATTATACAGACCCGCACCCAATTTAGTTGCTTATTGTTGACTTATGTTAAATTCAATGTAAGCTTCCGTTCATTTGAGTCTTAATTACTAATTTGATGTGCTTTATTAACTGAGCACAAATCCACACAGCTTAGTTAGGCTCTAGGTTAAATGTTCCCATAATTTTTTAGCTAATTTTTTATTTTGACAAGATTGAGAGTTTAGGCTCTTACCTGAACTGCACTCAATTGACTCTTAAGCTCAGCTGATTTTGGTCCAGGTATTGTCTTTGTACGCACAATTGGTTCCTTGGGCTCCCAATTTGTAGAATAAGCTTTCATACAATTTACACCTAAAATTAACATTAGCCAGTCACAGTTTTTCATGCATATGCATACACATTTATACATTTAAATGTACATAAAAAAAAAAATAATGAGCCTTACCATAAATGCTGCATTTACTTCTCGCATACGTGTGAGCCTTTGGCAACACGTTAACCAAAAAACTGCTCATTTTTTACCTTAATATTCAATACTGAGGTCTCGAAGGGGTCTTGCGGATGGACGACGTTTTAAATGGAAGTGAGATACGTAAGTTAACTGGTGGAGCTCATGTAGTTGTATGTACACATAAATGTATGTTGCATAACAATTGGCTACCCAAATTTTAATTTGTAAATAATCATGGTTCTGCGTCAAATACATTTTGTCCATGAAAAATGGGTTGTCATTTATCAAGACTTATCGTACACGCCTACACAAATACCTGAAATGTAACAAAACAAAAATAGATAAGAACATTTACGTATATTTCTAATATAATTGATATTTTTTATCAACAATTTCTTTGCCAAAGGCAATGGCAACATTTTTCCGTAGGGCAAATTACATAGAAAATGAGCTCTGGTATGTCGCGTTTCTTGACGTTTGTAATTCCCAACCATTTTAAGGTTTGACAAGCTGAAAAGGCGATTTTTTTAAATTTTCCCAGCTTTTTTAAATTTGTTTGCTGATGTGAATTATATTATTCACATTCAGGTACAATTATAAAGATTTGTTATTTTTTCTTAATGTTGAAATTTGTTTGAATATTAATCGAAAATGCATGTTAAAAGAGAAAATTGTTCATCTTAATATATTGGGCTTATCGGGAGGTTCTTAAAATATCTGTAAATAAACTCCTGCTTTATGTAATCTGCCAGCTTATTTTAAGCTTACGGTGAATTCTAAGCTGACTACGCTTATTTATGACCCTTGTGACTCGCAGCTACTTCTATTTTATTGTAAAGACGCTCCTGAAGAAGATCAAGAAATGGATGTAGAGGCAACCCATACATGGGCGGATGCGCCAGTAATGGTGTCCGATTCTGTCCCTGTCCAAGCATGTTTTGTGCTTCCATCAAGCATCTGAAATGCTGTACAATCTGAAAATAGTTCAAACCTCGTGTTCGACGGGCTACAATATACAAGTCGGGGTTTCAAATACCTTTTCTGGTCCTTAGGTGTGGAAGTCTAGTTTATATTGTATTGGTCCTTCCTTATTTCGAAAGGATGTCCATGGCTGTGGCTCCAACGTTACCCATAGGGAGCGTCGGACTCGGAAGAGAGCGTGACCCCAGGCACCAACGGCTAGGATAAGAAGGAAAAGAGTCCGGGCCGGGGATAGCTTCATGATCGAATGTCGTTCTTAATATCGAGAAGACCTGTAGCTCGACGGGAGGAGGATCGGACACGGTTACAGGGCCTGCAGTTCAGCTAGAAAGCCACTGGGCAAAATGAACTAGATCCCAAGTCGACTAGGAGTGGGCCTACCCAAGAAACCCAGGTCAGGTTCGGCACCACAGCCTGCTTGCGAAAGAAAGTAGAAATGCTACTTCTCACCCATTTGTGCGTTCCAACCACCTCTCTTGTCTAATTTCAGACGGAGGCGTCTAAATCGAAGACGCCTAGATCTCTAATCCGGCTTCGGTCGCGAAATGGTTGATTTTTAAGCCTAGTGAAACTCTGCGGAGCATGTTTGAGTGCGATATCAAACGCGATGGCTTAGTTTATGCTCCGATTATGTTTTCGATCAATCGATCCAATGTCACGATTCTCAGTCAATGGCAATTACCATTCTAGCATCCAATGCCAATAAAAGATTAACGAATATTATAATTATTGCCTATACAAAAAAAAACAAATATTCAAGATTGTTGTCACATTAAATGTTATTGCATATTTATAATTTTTTTTTAGTACTAGGTTTAATATTTATAAATTATTTTTTATTTTATAAAAAATATTTTTTAATACATTAATTAATGTTGTCAACTACATTATTTAAATATCGGTACTTATGCTCTTGGATATCGATATATCGATACATCGATACCTATCCAACATCCCTAAAAGCCACCCTACAAATTATTGTATTGATTGTGTTTTGCTCAAGCTATTGTTTTGCCATTAAGTAAATTATATGTTAATCTGTTTACTTTAAGAGTGTATCACAAATTTAGTTATAGTGTTAAATGTTACAGGTAGGAATTATACTTGACGTGCTATATTTTATTGCCGTACATGGCGAATAAGTGTGTGCTCAAACATACATTTGTTTATTTGTACATTAAATGTGTGTGTGTGTGTGTGTGTGCGCCTGTGTATATATGTGTGCACATAAGTATATGTATATGTATACTGCATGCAGATATGCTTATTTCCGTGTCCCAATATTCGCAGTGTTTATTTATAAGTCATATACATACATATTCAAATAAATATCCCTAAATGAGCTTGTTCCGGCATAACTAGCTTGTTATTATGTTTCACCTTTAATCACCTGCCGTGTTCGAGCTTTCTATTCTCAATTGTAATTATATTCCCATAGGTGCCGACATGTTAAATATAACAAACGGATCAGGGAATTTTGACCTAGTTATGCTCAGTTAAACGCTGTAATTATTTTACAAATAATTCTACTCAACCAAATATTGTCAACAAAACGTACGGCTTGAAATATTGATTAATGTACGCTATTCTAAAATATGCTTTATAACATCCACTTTTCTGTTCAATGAAAATTGGTTAACTAAATGTAATTATGTAGTTCACTTTGATTTATCGTGCGGGCAAATGTACAAATGTATAGCTCCCTTTCTGCTGCCTTTTAAGAAACGCGCTCTCATATCTCCTGTAAGGTGTGAACCTGTAATACTTGCATGTGTGTACATAGTTATATATTCTTCTTGCAATTAGATTTACTTGGATGTATACATATACCCAATACCTAAGGAGAATTCGCAATAACAAGTGGAGAAAGTCTCAAAGGAACTATAGAGTGGGCCTAGAACCAAGATGAGTGCTCAAGCGTCGCTCAACCTTCCTTATGAAGGGGAGCTGGGGTGACAAACTAAGCCCGGATGCTATCTTCTATCCCATGAACTGCTGGGACATTCACAAAGAATGTGCATAGCTTGTTTTTGTCTTCCTCCACACAACGTGTACACTCTATTAGCTACACCAAATTTAAAATCTTCATCTCTCAAAGGCTCTGGGATCCAAGATTTTCTACAGACGGACGAACACACAGAAGGAAAGGGTTTTATCGATCCGACTACTATTGCACACCAAGGGTATATGTCGGGTAAGGCCGGAGAAGAGGGAAAAAGTTATTTTGCATGGCCGACACAGAAAATATTGAAGGTAGTAAAAACAGACCTGCGTAGGAAAGGATCGTGAGCTTTATTGGTTGGGTTCGGCTGGAGATGCCACCAACAATAAACTTAAAGTCACAGCTTGACTAAAAAAGTTGGTAGTCTACCCTAGAGCATCCGATATACAAGTGAATGAGTCTTACTGAGAACCTTGTGTGAGCCTTGTCCGATTTTTATGAAATATCTAACCTTTTATATACTATACTTATGGGTTTTTTTTCATTATTTGAAGGGAGTGCTTGTAAACACACCATAAAAATATTTTTTCTGATTTGAGTGCTATAAATCAGAATATGAATGTCAAATTTAATGTTGAAACTTTTATTAACTGCGATATATGCTCAAAAAACGTAACTGAACTTATCATAACTTTTGCTTAAATCGGGACCTCTAGCTCTTCTCTGGTCGTCCTGATGCATCATTTATTTATTTTCATTTTGTATAAATTAGGAAAAAACGCTTTGTAATATATATGCAACTAAGTATATGTGTAATAATAATAGTTTTGGCTTCCCAAAAGCTTTCTAACAACTCGTTAGCAATTGATGCTTTATTGACTCCCTAAGAAACAAGATTCCATTAGCTAATTGGATGTTTCCGATCCACCAGCAGCAATACAACTTTAAGCCCTAAACCTCTATCGCTATACTCAACAGATTTCTTGTGGCATTTGCATTGTTGATAGCTTCTCAAGACAAGAAAACATCTCCGACCGTAGTTTGTATTTAGTGTGTCCGTCTGTCTATTTCTATGTCAACTCGACACACATTCTTAAAGGTAGATATGTCTTAACTGATCGATTCGGACTACTATGTTATATAGCCACAGCAAAGATGTGCCAAAAATAAGCTTTTGTGTGAAAAGGTTTATGTGTTTCACATATTAAAATCAAATCTAATCAACATCGGGCTACTATATCATAAAGCTCTATTGAAAGAAAGAGCCGAAAAATGAGTTGCTGTACTTTAAAACTTATCGATGGATCAGGTTTCTTCTGGATGCCAATTAAATATCATATCAATACGATACTATGCAGAAATATTGCAAATATGTTCTCTTTTATTACCCGTGAAGGAGCTATATAATATAGTATATTCATGTTCATCTGATTTTGCTCATTGGATACCAATTGTTAAGTTGACTTTCATTTTCAAAGATTTTCGTTTAAGTCCATTTGACTGGTGTTTCACACATTTCGGTAAATCCATTCCTCCTTTGTGGAAATGGGGATCAGGGACTAAGAATCCAAATTTGAGCTCATTAAAACATTGATTTGTTTGTGAAACTGAAAAATATCAGGCTTTTCTGTTGATTTTATTAACTCCTATTTTTTTTTTATTCCTAAACCATTTTTAGTAAAGAAATGTGGCTAGATGGAACGCTGGTATGAATCATTCCCTGATATATTCCGTTTACCAAATTGCTAATAATAATGTATAAGCCGGAACAGACCTGTAAGTAAATTTGTTGGCATAATATCAAAATATTTACATGATTTAGCGAAGTAGAATACCACAGTTGTAAATCAAACTAAAAAGATTGATTTATTTCTACGAATAAATTTAAATATAACTCTTATTATGAAAAAAAAAAATGGATGGCACTACAAATTATCAACGGACGCCATTATTGACTGTTTATTTATTAGAAAAGGAATGTTTTTTTTTTAATCAGAAATCTAAAACGGGTATTATAAAATTTTAAGATCAAAGAGAAGCTTTGCCGATCCATGCGTAAAAACTTATTGGTCTCACAGACTGTAAGAGCTAAGGAAAGGTTGAATTTATTTAACGTCGAGCCTGCAATTCCTATTCATATCTTGTTTTTAACACTCAATTGTATTTTTTAATCTAATATATATTTTGAATGCTCTTCAGAAGTCTTTACGATATATTTGCTCAGTTTGTAGGGAGCTTCCAACAGATCATTTGTAATGTTGAAGTTACAGCAGCCTTTCGGTCGGCTTAAACGTAGAATTCCCATTTTTACTCGAACCCAAAGCGCAGAGACATAAAACTTGGTATAAGTATGCTTATATATAAGTACACAGATCTGGATACCTTACCTTGTTTTTCGATTTCGGTATATGCCTTATTTATGCGCCAACACTGAGCAAGTTTTTCTTGCAGTGTGTGATTGTAATTCTAATTTATCGATTCTATGCGTAGAATGAAACTATAAAGTTCAAGGAATCTCCTAGTCGCGCACTGCCGACTAGATCTTGATCCATTGTTACAAATGAATATTTTACTTTTTCTGCTCAATCGATTTAACTCGCATCGCTCAAAACTTTCGCATTTGCCTCGATCGAAATATTATCTTTGCGCGCCTTGAATTGTCATTTATTAAACTGTAGCCTCAGCGTGTTATTTTTCTATGCCCTTAATTAAATACTTAATGTAAGTGCTGTCTGCAGTTCGAGAATTCTTAATTTTAATCTTCTCTTAAACGTTGTCTTAATTTGAGCAAAAATGAACTTAATTGCAGAACACGGCTTTTTTGCGATTCGTTGCTAACGCAATAAAATATTGCAAGCAATATTTCTTATAATTAGCCTATTCAAAGATTGCTTTCGCTCATCTTCCCAATATTTAACTAGACTACTTAAATCTTAAAATAAATTTTGATTTAATTTCAAGTCTAGAACCTTTGAACTATTAAAAAAAGGTTTCTTCTCTTGGTTTATTGCGCATTACGCTTTCAAATTATCGAATATCGAAATTCTTGTTTTTTTGAGCATATGTCTTAGGTTTTCGAAGTAAGGCTCGCCAAATTTAACATGTAGCTTCTCTTATCGTATAAACAATATAATTTATTGTTGCGATACCTCTAGCTAAAAAGTCAAAAGTCGCGTATTTATGCGAATCTTCAGTTGATGCAATAAATGTCCTTTTTTTAAATTATACCCTGACCCCATTAGAGAATGGTAAAAATGGTATAATAGATAATTCTATGGTACTTCCATATCAAGTTTGTTTTAAATCATCGATTTTTTGCCCCGCCCTGCCTGATTGTGTTTTTATTAAAGAAAGTTTCAGCAACTTCTCCCGCCCAGGGCAATATTTGTTCATTTCTTTGGTTTTTATTTCAAAAATCAGCTTTAATATATATATATATATTTTCGAAAAGTCGAATACTTTTTGACCACCAATGTATCTAGTTCAATTATTATACCATTTTTAAATTATTTTAGCATGTATATTGCAAGAATACTAGATAAGTAATAATATTAACAATAGAAATGTATTGGGCAATAAAAACATGTTGAATTAAAACTTTAGGGTGGCAACCCTATTGACGGGAACAGCAAGTTATTACTGTGTACAGAAAATAAAAATTGGTAACTCAATAATCAGGCTGTATACAGATAATTTTTGCGCATGCGCATAAGTCAATCCGTTTTAGTCCTTCGGTTCACTTAGCGTTAACAACTTACTGGGTAATAGTTTAATAAAAAGTTTTCTAAAGCACTCGAAGTAGAAATGCAATGTAAATACCATATAAAAATTGAATACATATCGTAAACACAATGCAATATTATTAACATATATTAATATTGATTGAACGTTTAACCACATACTATAAAATACTGAGAAAAACGCGTAATAGATAACGAGTTGAATCATATTGACAAATTAAAAACAAATTTATATCAAATTGTTAAAAGTGAAAATCTACATATTCAATGGGGTGCTTAAGTAGTAAAGATCGCCTAACAAAAGAAGATATGGAGTTTTTGAAAACCCACACCCGTTATGATGAAGCCACTATAAAAGAATGGTACAAAGGATTTAAGGTGAGTTTTGCACAGCCTTTAATATTGAACGATTTAACTTATACAAATGTGCATTGTTACCTTTCGTGTAGCAAGACTGTCCCAACGGCCGTTTGACTCCTGCTAAATTCGTTGACATGTATAAAATGTTTTTCCCATCTGGAAATGCGGAAGAGTTCTGTGACCATGTTTTTCGTACATTCGATATGGATAAAAATGGCTACATTGACTTTAAGGTAATTACTTGAATAACAGCATGTGCCTTGTAAAATAATTGCTTTATAAGTATTCGTTTTTCTCTCACAATTTCTTTAAAATTAAAACTTTCTTAAAAATATTATTTTTATTTCCTGTACAATTACAATTATATGACATCAGACAACAAGCATTTTGTTAAGAGCTTAATTAGCTTATAAAATGATTCGAAATTATTCATTTTTACCGCGATAGCCATATGAAAAATGCACAATTTTTTGTCCCTAAGGTGTGTTACCTGTTACACGGAAGTACTGTAATTTGCGCTTAAGCAACACAAACATGTTTTTCCAGTATACAAGTATTCGTGAATGCAGTCGATAGAGCTTTTTGCTTAGACGCAAACACAGTTGAAATATACAGCGCATTTTGGGCACAGTTCAGCTTAGCTAAAGAGCAAAATAATAAAAGTTCCTTAAGTAATGGCTACTAAAATTGACAATGATTAACTCTGACCCCGTTGGCACTATATTATCGGAAAACCATGTCCTAAATTACAGCTCAAGATAGTCGAAAATGTCAAAGATTTCATTAGTAATTAACTTAATTGCGAAGAATTTTTTTATTTTGATTAAATCACTAAAATAGAACAAGTTTAGGGTTAATTGTGGTAAATATTTTCATATTTTGCAAGGTAATTTGAACACTTTGAGAGAGAAAACGACGCTTTTAAACAATTTTACTTCAATACCCCTTTTTTCTCACTTTCTTTGGCAGGAATTTTTACTCGCAATAGATGTTACTTCTAGCGGCACACCAGAAGAAAAATTAAAATGGGCATTTAGAATGTACGATGTCGATGGAAATGGCGTTATTGACATTCAAGAAATGACAAAAATTGTTCAGGTACATTACAAACATTACAAATACACTATATGATTTTCTTTAAAACGTTCGAAACGAATGGGGTTGAAAATAAAAGAATTCAACGGCCAGGTGTCTTACTACATTAGTTTGAGGGATATTTTAGTAGAATGTGTCTGTTCGTATACCCTGATCCCATTACAAATGGATAATAATGACATAATACATCTGTTTACAAGTATGTAATGGGGCGATGGACCTCACATCTAGAAGATTACTTCGCCGGGATGGGTTGACTATTTTAGGCAAAAGTTCATTTTTCCTTTCCATAGTTGAGTTTATAGCTATAGATTGATAATTAATTCGTCTGGCCACCTTCCTTCGCTCGCCGAAGTGTTCTCTCCGATCTTCGGCAAACACATTGAGACAGCATTGCTACTAGCTGCATGCTCACCAATCCAGAAATAACGCATAGGACTGCTGCATTACTACTTACTACTGTTGATGCCCATATGCGTGCAGGATTCAATAGTAGGGAGGCTTCTATACTCGCGAGAAGACATCTAACAGTCCTAGGTCCTCCTCTGTTGTATAGCATCCGCGGACAGGAGAATATTTGAGACATATTTAGGCTTGGCTAAGCAACTTATAAAACTGTTTACAAAAAAAACTATACTTGCTTTGTTTTGATTTTGATATAACATTTTTTCAGGCAATCTATGACATGCTAGGAGCATGCTCATCAAATCGTCCCGCTGATTCTGCAGAGGAGCGTGCAAAAAATATATTTGCTAAAATGGATGAAAATAACGACGGTCAATTAACTCAAGATGAATTTTTGAAAGGATGTTTGCAGGATGAAGAGTTGTCTAAAATGCTGGCCCCTTAAATATTTATATCCCATAATATGTGTGTATTTGATGAAATCAGTAATGAAATGTATAAATATTTAATTTATATTTCTTATACTAAAATTATATAAAAATATTGAATATCAGGTTACTTGTTTCAATGACTTTTTTACAATTTAAGCCACGACTAGAACGAATATGTTGATTCAGTTCCAGCACTCAAAAAATCTGCAATCTCTATCTATAAGTCGAGTAGAGTGCGATTACTAATGAGGAGTGCCTTGGATATTTTGAAATATTATTTTATTTCCGGCTTGAGCACGACTTTAATATATACGATAATAAACGTGGAGGGGTTTTTTAATCTTCCTTTCTTTCTATTTTTAGCGATATATATTGGTTTTGATGAAAAGTTTTTCAGGCATAAACCGAAGACTATTAAAGTAAAGTGAACAAGAATATTTGAATATACTTGCTCTGCTGCGCGTGCTTTGGGTTCTTGACTAGCATTGATTTCACAAGGCGAACACTCAAAATTCACTTAAGTGCATGATGTTGTTGTGAGCCTTACTCTTGGGATGGCAGCAACCAAGAAAGCATCAGAGGCAGTGAGCCTAAGTTTGTGAACTGCGATCAATATCTGTCGTATAGGCGAAGCACGATAACATTTTTTTTATTACCCAAAATCCGTACGGGCAAGTGTATAGTCGGTTCTAAAGGGGACTTGCTTAATCCATTGTGTTTACTGTAAAGAATAGTGACACATTTAGTATTTGACATTTGAAAGAATCATTTAATTATTTAATATTCCCATGTAGGGACTAACAATTCAATACATAAAATATTGGTATAATAACTTTACTATCGCGTGTAACGCGGAGTCCTGATCGTTGTGCTAAGGTCAAGATCGGTAAGAAACTCGAGAGCGGATAAGGTCCGGTGTTAATTTGATATGCTAGTTAGTCTTTTGTTGTGATTGGCATATTCAGTCCTATATGAATTTTCTTATACGTGTGCTATTTTAGTGAATAACATTTATTGATTTTATATTAAGCATTAATAATATTACTTACTTATATATTTCAAGAAACCACTATAATGAAATCAACTTCAAAAAATGGGAAAGCAAAATAGTAAACTCAAGCCTGAAGTTTTGGAAGATCTAAAACAAAATACAGAATTCACAGGTAAGTTGATCAATTTCTATTCATTTCAAAAAACCATATTAGAAGGTCGTTCAGACATTATATAAGTCCAGGTAATCCAATCACCCGCTGAAGATTTTATTTCCTATCAATCAATTTAAAAGTGTGAGTTTTGTTTTATTAACAAATTGAAATCATTTTCTAAGACGACTGGACTTCCTAGCCAATTTACTGACTTTTCTATCGTTGTGCTTTGCTATTTTGGGGTCTCATCCGAAATTAAAATATCAGGGGTAACATTCTAAATGTTTTCTACCCCGTAGAGTTAATCACACAGCTTCCCAAGATGCTTAATTAATTTCCCTGCCTTTTAAGGCTCTAGAGGTAGCCCCTAATGCTCCTTCTCTTTGGGAAAGAAAGCTTTGGTATTCATTTGTGCCCATTTATGCACTACCGCAGCATTTGCTGCTCAGCAAGTGGTGTACCTGTGTTTTTGTATATAAGGATACATATATGTAACGGCAACTCGGCGTCGGGTCTAGGCCATCTCCTGGAAGGACCCTCCCAATTAGAACACGACTACCACTTTATTAGCATTCAATACTAAAAAAAAACTCAATTTTCATTTCTTAAAATTAATAATGTAATGTTTCTTTTATAATTTTCAGATGCTGAAATTCAAGAATGGTATAAAGGTTTTTTGAAAGATTGCCCTAGTGGTCATTTGTCGGTAGAAGAATTTAAAAAGATATATGGAAACTTTTTTCCATATGGCGATGCAAGTAAGGTATATTGACTTTTTTACATAGTGCCCTTTTATTGTATATTAATAAATTTACACAGCGCACACACGCATGTTTTAGAACGTGATGTACATATAGGATAGGTGGGTAGTGCTACCAGTTGATTATGAGTCCGACAAGCCCATGTTTTAACAATACAAAAATGAAGAGTTATATTCAGGGCTTCAGAAAAAGGCGGAACGCCAAGTTTAATCAGGATAAGATAGATATTGCTACACATCATTTATGGGATCGAAGGTGGGAATATTGTGTAACGCCCTATAATATAGGGTATAGTCACATGGTAGTCCGATTAAGGTATAAACGTGAGAGATTAAAACTTGTGTCCGATAAACTGTCAAAATGTTTCAAACATAGGAGGCGGGTAAGTTTCAAAAGATCGTTTCAATTGAACTTATTTTTTAAATCAGATCTGTAGCCTACTGCACACGACTGCTAGAGATTTGCTGTTTAATTTTGACATAGGCACAGACAGAGGCATATGATATTATTTGTGCATGCTAGGCGGATGCCCCACCTTTAATTCGATTACAATGACTTGATAAGTTTTTGATACCCAACGCAAAGTGTAAGAACATTTTTAACAAAACTTATATTTAGTTTGCAGAGCATGTTTTTAGAACATTCGACTCAAATGGCGATGGAACTATTGACTTTAGGGAATTTTTATGCGCCTTAAGTGTAACATCCCGTGGAAAACTGGAGCAAAAACTGAAATGGGCATTTTCAATGTACGACTTAGATGGAAATGGATACATATCGCGGCAGGAAATGCTTGAAATTGTTACGGTAAATAATATAAGGTTTAAATTCTTCTTCGTTTATTTGATCAGTAGCTCTCTTATTTTAAAACGGCATTCATATTGTTTCTGTTTCGTCAATATTGTTGCTAAATATAAATGGGTTATACGTCAATTTTTTCAGGCAATATATAAAATGGTTGGATCGGTCATGAAAATGCCCGAAGATGAAAGCACACCCGAGAAAAGGACGGATAAAATTTTTCGTCAAATGGATAGAAACAAAGACGGTAAATTAAGCTTGGATGAATTTATAGAAGGAGCTAAAAGTGATCCTTCAATAGTGCGGCTTTTACAGTGTGATCCGCAAGCACATTAGCTTAAAATTGAATTGAACACAAGCAATAAACATTCAAACGTGAATTCATTAAATATTGTTTTGCATAAATAATGTATTTTAAGCAAATATAAAACATAAATCAAATCTTAACACTTCCTATTCTAAAATTTACCGGTTTTGTTTTGAGTGGGAAGAGAAATTCAGCTCTACGACTGGAATGGCTGCAAGAAGCAAGCTTTCAGCCATGGACCGGTTGTCTTACTGGAAGAATTATAGCCGGGAGCCAGCGAAGGCCATTAATGTAGCGCTAATTGCATACGTTAAAAAGCCATCGTTTCTGGCATGAACAGTCGAGGGTCAAATCGTTTCGGTGATCGCCATTGAACACGGATTGCAACTCAAAACACAGGTGCCTAAGCACTTACACCTAGCCGTGCCACCTGGACTGCACAATGACGGCGAGCAAACGCCGAACGAGCTCTGGACTCTAATATATCTGCAACCTAACAAAATAAAAGTATAGGCTATTCCTGCTATTGTGCTGGCTGACATCCTCAATGGTCTCCAGACTCAGTTCTCAGTACAGAATCGACTCAAGACTGTACCGGTGGCAGCCGGTTTTCAGAACGAACGAGCAGTAGCAGAATTCGGCGACCCTTTCGGTAGACCAGTGACCCCAGGGTGTACCTTTGGGAATACCTTGTTTGCTTAAAACACGTATGCCCAAGGTTAAGTGCGCTTTCTGACCACTCGACAGGTTTCATGCAGAGCATAAAACAACAAACAAACACATAAGAAGCTTGAACCAGAGTACCCAAATGTAGAAAATCAGGTCCGAGAATGGAAGCGAGAATGGACAGCGAAAACATACAACAACATATAACGCCAACATCTGAAGGGCTTATTGCAAAAATTTCTGAGTCGACATAAGGTAAGCGAAAAAATTTTAATCTACTTAGCGGATATGCAGACGTTAATGACTACTTGTTGGAATGGAACAAAATGGCTCAAGGTGTCATTCCTGGCTTTTAATATCCTGATTTTGTAGAACATTCCGAAAAGCAATATTCTTTAGAGCTGCCTAGCTTCAAAATGTTTTAATTTTGCCGTGTTTTGCTTTTTAAATGCTGGCGTGAAAATCGCAAACACTGCGCACAACATAACTAGCTTCTCGAGAAGCGATCAAAAGCGCTGACTCACCTCTGAAGTAAACCTAAAATAAATATTAAATTTTAGATATTAGATAATCTCACTAATGAAGCCTGTTTAGATTTTTATAATCCGAAAAAAAATGTAATTTTGTTACCTAGTTCAATTCATTTGAGTATAGAAACAAGAAATACCTGAGTTCTGTGCCAATTCCATTATTTCAAAATCGCCACTATCTTGACTGTGTTGGTTGTTTGTATTTGTGAATGTACCGCGTATTTGAACCATTCGACATTTGTTTACCATTTTTAACAGAACGCGTACGAATTTATGTTTGTGAATCGCTAACTATTTAAATGGCATCATGGAAAAGTCCAGCCAACTTAAGCCAACACAAAAGATTGGAAGAATTCAATCTGTGTACTGCAAAGATTTTGTGTAAGTGAATTTGGAGTACAAGTTATGCTGCCAGTCTGTTAAGAACGCCTTGTATATTCATATGTATGTGTCCACATAATATGTGAAATTGGATGTTTATTCAGAAATGCACTTGGATTTGTGTAATAAAGTTACTGAATATGAATGCGTCGCATGCATTTTAATATGCATGCGGCAACAGCTGATGCATTGGCGCATTTGCTGCAGAAAGGTCATGAAACGCTGCGCCAATCAAATTGGCCCGGCTCCCATACACTGCACACACTCACAACGATCTGACAATACGCAAACCGTTATAAACAAGAAAGAACAGCTATCTTGAGCACGCAGATGACTGAATACCCTTGTAAACAATATGCATAGCTTGCGGCTTTGCAGACGTGCGAGCGTACTCTATATAAATATTCAATTTTTGTTCCCATGTTTACATCCATATATCATAATTTTTGACCGATCATTCTCTGGCAGCTATATCATATCGTGATACGATCCGACCGATTCTGTCATACATATGTATGTGCTGCAACAGCAATATTTAATTGGGAAATGTAAGGGAAACAACTCCAAACTCGTCTTTATATCATTCTCAGTCTTATACAGTGCATCTAAATTATTTTTGGAATTTGTATTTATATATATATGTACTTATATTTCAGCTCATATTCGGAAATAACATACTTCCCGAAAGAGTATCTAAACGTCTTAACGGGACCAAATGGAACGGGCAAGTCAACAATTGTATCAGCCATTATATTGGGACTGGGCGGTGATCCACAGTTGCTGGATCGGTCCTCTAGCATCTCTGATTATATTAAAAGCAGTAAAAGCTCTGCAGCTATTGTCATCACAATTTATGGAAAACAAAAGGACTCTGTGGAAGCATTTAAGCGTACGATAAATCACAATGGAGAATCTCGATATTTTGTTAATTCTAAGGAGTTGTCAAAGTCAAAATATCTGGCTATTATTGCAACTTATAATATTCAAGTCAGCAATTTGTGCCAGTTTTTACCACAGGATCGTGTTCAGGTATATTTTCCTTGTCATTTTATATTTCAACACATATGATATATTTTCCACCTTCACATTGAAAGGACTAAGTCCATGGTACAGTAATATGCTAACAGTTTTTAAAATTTTAGGACTTTTCAAAAATGAATCCGCAAGAGCTTTTAGTCAACACCATGTCCTCTGTTTGCGACAATCAGTTGATAAAGAACTTTATCGATCTGAAAAATATGCGAATAAAACAATTGGGCGCTCATGCAGACCGAGAAAGGGAGAACGATAAACTT